AAAAGCCTAACCGCAAGGCAGCGGTGTTTGGCGGGGAAATGCAAATGCATTACCTTTTCTACGGAACAAGTCGCCATACATGTTCCAACCCCCAACCTGGAGGACCAGGAGACTGTGTTCGTCTGACCTCTAACCATTGACCAACCTGGTATGAGAGACTCTGTGAGTGTCGCGCGGACACCCCCCAGTATAGCTCAATGGGTCGCCGAGGTACACAAACCGCCACACCACGATAAGGTCCAGTCTCTTCGTGTCTGCATACGGAAGTCAGCAAGCAAGGCTTCGAACTGTCGCCTTGGTTGCGCTGGCCATGCCAGCTGTACTCACGGTTTGCGAGTTTTAGCTTGTTTGAATCTCATTGCTTTCACCACGATAAGGTCCAGTCTCTTCGTGTCTGCATACGGAAGTCACCCTGCAAGGCTTCGAACTGTCGCCTTGGTTGCGCTGGCCATGCCAGCTGTACTCACGGTTTGCGAGTTTTAGCTTGTTTGAATATACCTCATTGCTTTCCTTCCTTTGCAGCAGCCTCAATGCGCCTGCGAAAGACGCGCAGTAGCGTGGTAACGCCCAGTGCATGCGATGGACAGAAGGACAATTTTCTCGAGAGTAAGCCGCCAATCCAGTACGTTATCCCTTTGTTGCCTTCTTACAATTTAGTAGAACAGGACAGGAATTGAAATTCCGTGAACTAGTGAGTCATCGCCTCCTTGACTCCATCACCTTGTCTCTTCTCTGCAGTTTCGATATGCGAGCACCAAGGAGCTTATACTGTTTCGCCTGGGCGTGCTGATGAGCTCAATTGTGGGCGCTGCCTTCCCGTTTTCTATTTTTGTATTTCGCTTGATTGTGAATGATTTTATGGATCCAGATGTACAATCTGCGGCTCAAAATATCTACAGAACATCCATATGGTTTTCCGTGATTGCTGCGTGCGCGTTTATTTTAGCATTTCTACAAACTCTCGCAATTGACCTTTCTTCGAGCGCTATTTCCGAGCGCATTCGTCTCAAGTTTTTCCAGGCAAGTGCCATCAGTTGTGGTCCTCACTGGTTGAATTTTCTGTGTGTACATAGAAGAATTTATTTCTCAAATGGATGCATTTGTGCCGAAGTCATCCTAAAGCATCCTAAAAGAGAATCATCATCTGAGACACTTTGCCGTGATTCTCGTCTGCACGTTGCATGAGTAAATGCTCACAGGCTGCACTCTTGTGAACTGAACTTGATAATGGAACTTCGCTGGTTTACCTGCGTGACTTGCTTACTTATACCAGAAGGAACCCATACAATCTCCTATATTAGGTTGGTTAGTGGACAGAAATCCTTACAGCCTCCTGATCCTCCAGGCTTGAAACCGGAGCATCTTCCATGTATTCAAGTGAAGGACATCCACCTGAAATAGCATAATCAGTTGTAAAAGCGCCGAATAAGTTAACTGGAAAATTCTCAAAGGGCCTGTGTTTAGCTACTGTCGCGAGAGCTGTTATGTAATGTGCAGACTGGAGTGGCGCATCACCAATGGTGTCTTAGGCTGAATTCATGTCACATCTGACACGCTAAACTGTCCGCGTCCACATACTTAATAAAAAGAAGCGAGGACTCAGATAGTCTCTCCGTCTCGTCTACCACACTTAAATGTCTACTGCCACCCGCCAAACATCAAGCAACGCTTCAACAAGCCTCATAAAAATATTTACGACTTTCAGATGTCTCCGATTTTTGTGAATCAACAGAAAAACAAGAGGGGTTACGGAATTCTTTCAACCCTGCTTTTAACACAGATTTGCTCGTCTGTGTCAGAACTTGTTAATGGGATCGCCTTTAGTACCGAAAAGTGCTTTTACTTCTATCTTCTGAACGATGAACACAACCACGTCTGAAAACGTGGTATTTGCGGACTCAGAATGTGCTGCACTAAGGTATCCAAAAAGTGGTTCCGCGAAACAACTCGTAGTCACAACTATCTTGAGAAAAAGATTTCACCAACAAGCGAAAAACCCCTCGACACGAACATATTCATATCACGGTGGTCGAGTGTGAGTTATGATACATGGTTAAACAACATAGCAATCTGTACCGACGAAAGCAATTTCGTACGAGCAGAGCTCACTCCACAGTTCTGGATCCCGACGGCCCTCGTAGGTAGGACGTATTTCAAATGTAGGTTGGTGTGAGTATTCGGTTCAGCGTGGACAAGTAGCATCCCATTTTCCGTTCTTCATAAGTCACCTCTCAGAGGCAGTGCCAGCCGTCAACAAGCACTCGAGTGGTGGTGATCAAATTCACTGTCCGAGGCCTCTGAGAATAGTCCACTGATCCATTTCCAGGAACAGACACACTTCACACACTTCACTCTCATCTAACGAACAGCAACATATGAGGTGTGTGTGTGGCACGTTTTTTCACACAAGTTGTCATTCCATCGGTTAACGAGGACACCGATCGGCAAGACAGAGCTCGAGGTGTTCCAGTGGCCAAACCACAAGCATAGTGACCCGACGGTCTGGGGTTCGACCTTAACCCTGGCATCTCGACAGCTCTTGTGTAGGTTTGGGTAGCCTTGCTGAATCTCAGCCCTCGTTCTTCCTTCGGGTGGCATGGCAGCTGGACACGGAAAAGGTGTTGCATCTGGACTGTGATGTATATTATTATACTGTCAGCAATATATATTGCCGGGAGATGCTCACTTCGATATCTTACGTAGTCATTGGATAGTCAGGAAATTCAGCTTGAGGTGTGTACTTTTTCAATTTCAGGAGCTCATTACTCACACTTCTTGATGATCATATACATTCATGTTCAACCACTTCTATCTTATGGTTTTAGGTTATTACTTCCCAGATTTCATCCACGTCAACTCATTTACTCTTAGTCCTACCTCATGCATTTTCAGACTAGGTCGTTTCCGTCAATCTCGGGACAAGGCGATGCCACATCACATGATTTCTGTATAATTGCCTCATCTTATTGCCTGATAGTTCGTAGATTATTTAAATAAGAACTCAGCATTGTCGCTGATTCCAAACTCAACAATGTGATGTGGGACAAGCGGAAACTGCGGAACCACTAAATCATTTTGATTGCACAAAACAATAGGTGAATGGTTGATCAAGCAAATAACTCTACTCAGCAAGCCACCATCATCGTCATTATCGGTGTTGACTCCGACACTTCACTTCTGCGCAACCACAAAGCTCATCTAATCACGTTTGAAGCCTTAAAGTGAAAAAGATGGGAAGAGTGAGTGAGGGATCTAATGTTAACCTACCGAGGTGTATACACCTTGAAGTGAAATAGTCTGACAGCATGAACGCCACGATATCGATTAGCCGTTACTTCGTCCACTGTGTTTGACTTAACTTAAGGGGTCACGTAGAGCCCATCATTGGAGGCGGATTGCACCGATAACAGATGCTTTTCGTGACCTCTTCAACACCCTTATATCAAGTTGTACGTTGTACACCTCGCATTTCGCGCCACTGTGAAGTAGGCCGGGAGGACAGCACTAGTCGCGGTAGACAATGATTCAACATACATTCCACATGGCCGAGCCACCGTAGCTGATTGTATTTAGTATTTTCTGTGACTAGAGTGAGCAACCAAGCGCCTCCTTTCTAATTACCTCGTTACGAACTTTTTGACGCCATCCCATATCAGTAACGTTTCTGAGGCATCGGTGCTAGAAATATGAAGATGCCTCACATTATTTGTTCACGGAGACCATGTATCATTAAAAATCGTCCAACTGTAACATCCCTCCGATGCCTAACTGCTATGCCACAAGAAGGAACCACGAAGGCTGATTGCCCAACCCTAGACAGGTGAAGTCCGGAGGCAGAGGTCGGGTTCGAACCACAGACCTTCCGGTCAGTGAATTTGCCATGCGCTTGTTATTTTATTGGGTGAAGAAATGTCTCAACTACATGAGCACCTTTATCTTGATTGTGACTCATTACATGGGCACAAAGTGACGGGACACGTGACTCCTTGGTAAATATTCCAAGGCCGTGGTCTAAAAACAACTGACCTCCAAACTTATCCCAATTTCTTTAGTTATGCTCACCTGAAAATGTTACAAATCCGACGAAAAGGCTGTTTTGGTAGAGCAGCCGATGCCGAGTCCTAATCACTCATGACATACAACCGTTTCTGCATAAGTTCTTTTATGCTTGTTTATCACGTGCACGCTAGAAGTTAGCTATATCTGTGTTTTCATGATGAAATAGAAATCTTGGTACGCCAGGTTGGGAAATTGAGTTTCGGCATCATTGAAACTTGTGTGCGTGGGAACCTGTGAGTAAAATGAGCTGAAACACCTTCCCCCATTACGCTTGTGAGACATGTTCGCTGTGGACTTGCAGCTTTTTTAAAAAAGCTCGCCTATTTTTGGTATAGATAGGCTGGTATATGTATATGGGTGGATGTTCCAGAAGCGATATAGCATTAACTTTAAACTCTTGAGCGGTGCATCAGCCGTTGTTCCTTCATGCGCACACTGTCATTTTGACTGTATAGCAACACACTTTGCTGCGACGAACTCTGTAGAAACCTAATAGAATTTGCATTATTTTGAGACCCTCTATAGGGAAGTTCAGCTGCCCCCAACCCGTGTGTTGGGAGCAAAATGGTGGATAAAAGAGTGAATATCTTAACGTAGGGCACAACTGGCGGTAAGTCTAAGCCCATCATAACTGGCGGAACTGGACGTCCCTGGCGCTATGAAAATGCGGACCAAGACCAACTAGGTACCTAGAATATTTGCTGCTATGCCACCCGAAGTAGACACGAGGGCCGAGATACTACCAGGTTGCCCAAGACTAGACAGAAACAGTTGAGATGCAGATGTCTGGTTCGAACCACGGACCTTCTGATCAGCACGTTCGTGCCCTAACCACTGAACCATCTCTGTAATAGGAGTCTTCCTTCCCCACCACCAGACACCTTAACGAAGCTTCTGAGGTAGAGATTAAACATGTCAGAAATATCACAGAAAATTCTGGCGATCTAACTGAACTTTTCGGATAGGTTTTCGAGTGCTCGATTTTCTGAGTATTCTAGATGCAGATTCCATGTATCATTTTCTGGGGACCAAGTTAAACGGACCATCATATCACACTTTTCGTAAATACGGGATCGGCAAAATGCTTGCTGGTGGACCAACTGTGCGATATAGCGATTACTTCCCATCGTAGTGAGACGACTGTTGAGATCTATACCGCTATCGGTACATTGGCAGATATACACCAGATTGAGTTACAGGTGACATGCATTGACGTGAAAGAAATAGGCAGAACTTGAGATAAGGCATTCTAAGTGAAGATGAAATAAGCATCCGCAGCCAAACCGCATCCCTGAAAGGCAGTCTGTGTTGTTCAGTACCCAAAAATATATCCACAGAATTCTTGGAAAATCCCGGCTGAGGTTGGGACGATTTAAACAGAGCTAACAGTTAAAAAAGCGATACAAGAACAAATGAAACGACTTTTGGATAGCTCATGTACTTCGTATTTCAACATTAACAAATACCCTGTGCAGATTGTAGAAAATTCTAGCAGAAATTTCCTCACATCCATGCCGGTCTTGGTTCTTAGCTGGACGCAACACTTTCCCCATATCAGAGACAGACTGTTACTTTGCGTTCGAATTTCATTGGCCGTGTTGCTGTTCAGCAAGATATCTGACGTACACTATTTATTGGATGCGTGAACATTATCCCCGCCGGTTTGTGACAGCAAGTTACGTGCTGAAACCTTGAGCTCGTACTTATTTCAACTTGAACCCTAGGTTAACCTTCAGAGCAATACTCTCTGCACGGGAATTACTGTACTCTTCCGGAGATACTGTTTTGGAAGTACCCCAGGGCTCTCGGCGCGTGCTACCAATCACCGGCCGGTGGTCTAGACGAAAACCTGACTTTTCGACTGTATTGAAGACCAACTTGACAGTGGTACAGTCGTGACGCTTCCTGTTCTAACCTTAACCCGGGGGCGTGGAGTGAGAGCAACTCTTACGCTTCTGTTTATTTCTGCATCTGAAATACGGCTGAATCGAATGTGCCCTGACTAACGGCCAAACGCTAAAGAACCGAAAATCGTTAGAAATGATCGGTAACGAGGATGGATCAAATGAAGGCGGGAACTACGTACAACATCAGGCTAGTGGCTTACGGGGAACAGATGTGAACGAGTAATTTTTGGGTCGATCTGGCCACTTAATTAACGAATGACCAGGCAGCAATAGCTCATTCGTAACTTGATCATTGCCTGTTGGAACACATCATAATACACTTGGAGTCTCCTAAGACGATCTGTCCGTCAGTCCAGAATAGGAATGTAATGGACATGCACAAGAACTCTGATCAACAAGATAGGAATGGAGTGTATGGGCGTCACTGTACTGATAATGTCTATGCAGGCGTCTGTAATCGCTCGCTATTAATCCAAAGGATGCATACGTCTCAACTCAATCTCGACCTAGGTATCTATGGGTAATTCAAATGCACGGTCTCCAGCTGTCTATCTCGCGCAGGTCGTGGTGTTGGACGTCTGATGTTTAGCTGCCTCAAGTTTTTAATGACGATGTTCCTACTTAGGGATGGTGACTTACCCCACGACCAGTTCCACATTTTTTTTTGTGTGGCGCATCCTCCCGAAAAATCCGTTCATCAATGACCGGACGAAGGAAGAGAGTCCTACTGACAGGGAAATGCAGATCTCTTACGATCTTTCTCATTGTAGCAATGCGATCCTTGTTCATTTTGCCTGTACTGTCGAGCAGGTATGACTTCACATTCAGACGACTCTTAGTATGTTTTCCATTTGATCCATGCGGTGTTGCCTGAACAGTCTCGGACACTTCAGCCTATAAACAGTTAGCAGTTAATCAATCTTGCTCACTTACTTTCCAGGAACTTAGAAAACCTTGCTGAGTGCTTGGTCTGCACTAAGCTTAAAGGACAGTCTAGTGTTTTTGATATGATAATACTTGCTCGTTTTATGTACAGTCAGCTATTGCTGTTTGATCCTGCTCTGTGTTTCTGTTACTTCAGGCTATCTTCCGTCAGGACATCTCTTGGTTTGATCAACAGGCCGTTGGAACCCTGGTCAATCAGCTGGCTGATGACACTGCAAACATACAGTTAGGAATAGGAGTCAAATTGACTGAATTTGTGCAGAACATGTCCAGCTTTTTTGTGGGTCTTCTCATTGCCTGTATAAGTGCTTGGAAGCTCGCTCTCATTGCCTGCTGTATGCTCCCTTTCATTATGATTGGGTTCGTTTCCTTCGGTGGACTGACACATTATTTCATTCGGAAGGAATCTGAGGCCTACGCGAAGGCAAATGCGATTGCTGAAGAAGTAATTTATGGAATCCGGACGGTCTTGGCTTTCGGTGGCCAACGTCGAGAAGAAGAACGGTATGCACATCATTTGAATGAGGCTGTAAATGTTGGCGTGCGGCAAGCTAGTATCTTTGGTCTAGGTAAGTCGCCGTTTTACCCACTGGCTGCGCTTTCTAATCGTGCAGAGTACTGGCAAACTGATTTTTTGTATTACAAATGTATTCGAATTTATAACGGCAAATAACTTTTGATGGAGCACGGTTGCTATGTATTTGTAGGGATTTTGAAACCTACTTTAGTAAGATGTTCGAGGAGAGCCGTTCTGAAGGGAATCCGACTTCCAGAGGGTCTTTACAGCGAATTTACTGAGTGCATGTCCGTATACAAAGTGTAGCTCATGTCATTAGACATGTGCGCCCCTATATATCGTGGGAGATTATCATCTCTAGAGAAGCCCACAATGGTACCAATAATCTCTTTTCATAGCCACATTTTACCTC